CTAATGCTGTATTACACAGGAAAAAGTAAAAGTTATTAAAGAAAAAGGAAGTGTTGTTATTTGAATTGTAAACTGAAGTAAGGACTTTTTTCTGGATATTATTTTTTACTTGGAAGAACAGCTAACAGATAAACTGCTTATTCAGAGCTGTAAAAGGCTCAAGTCAAAAACGTCTGACATTGCCAGTCCTACAGATAACCCACTATTATGGACTAGTGGACTACATTGGATTATTTTGCTGAATTCACGCATTTACAATATTTAAATGGCAGTGGAATACTCTTCTCTGACAAAGCTAAACAAAAAAAGGGATATAAGTGAAGGACCATTTTGTATCTGTATATACAAAATAGGACAGATATACAGCTACTTTCTCTTAATTCAATGAGAGGAAAGATTTGTAGTAATAGTGTTTGGACAGGATATTGTGTCTGCATCTTGTACGATGAATAACTACTATGAAAACAACAAGATGCAATGTATTAGCGCAAGGGCCTGAGTTCAATCCCTGGTTCTGCCAAAACAAAACAAAACAAAACAAAACAAAACAAAACCAATATGCAATGTATTAATTATTGTAACTGTCCTACTAACCTGTTTTGAAATTTTCTCATTGCTATTAGTTTCTCAATAAAATTAAAAAAAAAAAAAAAACAAAACCAGCACCATAACTCCTCCGCCGATAATCTGACCTCACCTCCTAACTCATCAGTCTCCCCTCTCCAGGAATGACTCCTCCACCTTGAATCAGCAACTTTTCCTCTTTCTAATGCCTTTTTATCTAAGGCAATAAAAAACAACCTTAGGTATGTCAACCTTTAAAATAAGAAAAACTCTCCCAAGCTGTTGTCCTGGTTTCTCCTTTTCATAGGTAAATTCCTTTAAAGAGTTGCCTGTATTTGTGGTTTCTACTCCTTTGTTTCTCAGTTCCTCAGGGACCTACTGTAATTTGGCCTATATTGGATCCCCTATGTGTACTCCTTACTTTCACTGTAATTGTTCCCAATAAACTCAGAGGACATTTCAAAGTGCCAAAAAAAGAAAAGAAAAGAAAAACTGCTTGTTTGACTTTTTGTACTTGGCAATTTTGTTTTAAATTGAACAAAGTAAATCTACCACTTAAAAGTAAACAACTGAATATACGTTGTCTGTGATAATATCAAGGCTTTCAGTGGAAAAATTATATCATGAAAGTCTTGTACCCAATACTTTCTTTTTTTTTAAATGTGTTTAGTACAGAGTCTCACTGTGTAGCTTAGATTCGTAGTGATCCTTCTGTTTTCAGCCACCCTAATGCTAGTATTACAAGCATGTGCCACCATGCCCACACTCAAGTCCCAGTTTAGTGCACCTGGGTTGGGGCTGATACCAATACTTTTATCTTGATAGTTTTTCACTGCTTAAAGAATTTTTTCAGGGGCCGGGGAGATTGCTCAGTAGAATAAGCGCTTCTCTGGCAAGTGCAAGGGCCTGAATTCAATCCCTGGTTCTGCCAAAAAAAAAAAAAAAAAAGATTTTTTTTCTGATAGAAGAGATGGTAGTATGAAAAAATCTCTTTCTTTCTGATTTTTATATTTTATGAGTACATGTTTACAGTACGTAATGATCATATTCTTCGTAGGGAATTATTAAATGTACATAACACCACAATTCTTTTTTCAGCCCTTTCTCTTGTACTCCCTCCCTTCAAGAAATCTCCTTGAATTTCTTGGTTTCATTCCTATTTGCAAAAGATTTATCTACTTCTTATCATCTTTTATTTTGTTCTTTATTTCTACTGTGGGCTTCTTATATATGAGGAAGCATGCAGTATTTAAGCTTGTCCAGTTTATTTCACTTAGCATTACGGTCTCAAGGTGTATCTGTTTTCTTACAGAAAGTTTATGGTTCTTTGTGGGAGAATAGTACTCCATTATGTATAAACACCACATTTTCTTTATCTAGTCATCTATTGATAGACATCCATTTCCAAGATTTAGCTATTATGAATTGTGTTGCTGTAAACATGGATATACATGTATTACTGTATTATGATATCTTTTACTCTTTTGGAAAGATGCAAGGGATATTGCTGAATCAAATGGAATTTCTAGATTTAGTGTTTTGAGCATTCACCATACTGACTTCCATAATGGTTGTACTATTTTACATTCTTATCAGCAATGTAGAAGGGTTCCTTTTACCTTATGGCATTACCAGCATTTTTATTATTCCATTTCTTATGACAGCATTTGTTCTAGAGTAAGAGTAACATTGTTGATTTGGCCTTATATTTTGGTGAGGGGATCTAATGTTTTGAGTTCTTTATTATGTTATAAAATTAATCTTCTGTCTGAGGAATAGCTAGAAACCTTTTTTCCTATGGAAATTTCTTATTTCTCAATCAATTTTGAATGGTTGTTTTGCAGGATATATCAGGCTGGGTGGGCAGGGGTTTTACGGGGCCTTAGGGGAACTGAAACACTTCAGTCCAATCTCTTTTGACCTTTAAAGTTTGTGTTGATTGTAATTTATTGGGTTTACCTTCATAAGTGATTCCAGCAGCTATTAAGATTGTGTTTTTGTGTTAGACTTTTGCAATTTTGTTTGTGATGTGTCTTGGAGGTTTTTTTTTTCCCCCTGATCTTGGCTATTTAGAGTTCTCTGTGTGTCTCTTCTCTCTATGTTAAGTTTCCTTATTTGGAAAGTTTTCTGCCAGGTTTTTATAGCATATGTGCTGTCTTCTGCTTTTTCACTAATTCTAGTTAATGTAATATTAGTCTTTGTGTCATCTAGCAGCTTTTGTATCCATTTCTTCTGCTCTCTTATTTTTTAGGTATTTCTGAGTAATTGGTCTCCAGCAACAGCTCTGCCTTCTGTTCTGATATGTTCTCACATTGGTTGCTTTTTCTGTCTATACTTTAAATAGAATTATTATTAGGTGACTTTTTGTGGAATCTAATTTGTTGCTGAACTTGTCTGGTCGTTCATTTATTTTTTACCTTATCTTTGTTTTTATTGGTATATTTTAATTACACATAATGATCTGATCATGAGGAATTTATACCAGTATTTATCAGCATTCTACTTTTTTATTCCCTATCATCTCCCTTCAACATTTCTTCCATTCCTTAGTCACAAAAAGTTTTGTTTCTGGTTATAGCTATTTGTAGGGCTGTTCCAAGGCCTTACCACCTCCATTTATTTTTCAGAGGGAAAGCTGTGGTGTTTTTTGGCATAGCACCCAGTTCTCCAGGAATGGGCAAAAGTATTATTAATAATACAGAGACAATCTAGATATTGGCAAACAGAGAAAAACCTATTAATAGCAGTAACTATACCACCTTAGCAATAGGGATAAGCTTAGCAACAGTAATAGTATCAAAGACAGATTTGATATTAACACATCCTAAAACAGTAATGTACTACCCTTCAGCATAGAAGAGATCTATAATTATAGTACAGCACTAGAAAAACCAAATATTGACATAAACTAAATATCTATTAAATGTAACAACTCTACCTCCATTAATAATAGAGCAGTATTTAGCAGTAACAAGAGAGTGTTAATTATTTAAAGATGGTTATACTAGTAAGGATAAAGGGAGTAGGGAATTGGAGAACAAAAAAAGTAGAATTTGAAAAGTTAATCAATGGAAGATGAGTAAAAAAAAAGTAAAGGATTCTGTTGAGTAAAAGGAAATTCATAGTATTAGAGAAAAGAACAAGCAAAGAAGGAAAAAAAAGAAAAAAAGAAACACCAACCCAGCAACATAAAGGAGAAAAGGGAGGAAAAAAGTATTAAAAATAGGAAAGAAAAAGGCAGAAAAACCCCCCAAGCCCTCCAAAAACCAATGAAGAAAAAGAAAAAAACAAGAAGTAAAAAAAAAAAAAAAAAAATCTTATCTTCTGCCTACTTGAATGAGTGGTTTCTTTTTAGGTTCTACAGTGTTAACATCCAGAAAGTCACAATCTCCACCTATATACATAGGTTGTGGGTTTTTGGGATCCCACACACACTGCTCCAGAAGTCCCTCCCTCCATACACCCTATATTGTGACAACTGCCTGAGCCAAATGTGTTGTTCATGTTGGCAGTTGGGAAAAGCAGTTAAGACTTCAGGTCTGTGCTAGATGTAGGTAGTGGGATGGGACTTCAAGTAGTCATCAAGACTTAATATCTGCACTTCTGGATCTGGCCCCTTTTGAAAGCCACACTGGCTGGGTCTGGGTTTTCACCACAGAGGCCAGACGTGTGTCCTTCTTAGCCTGAGCTTGAACTTCTTAGAAGTTTGATATCCATCCTGCAGCCTTTCTTCATCTGTCTCCTGTGGCTGTTGCTCACTCACTTACTTTGGGAGAGTAACACTGAACCCTGAAGTGAAATTGTTTGGTAGTTGTTCTGTGGCTTAGTTTAAATAATCAGTTCCTTCCCAAAATGGTGCCTGATTAAATTTTCAGGAAATGTAGTGTGCAGTGCATTGGATTTCTTTTTCAACTCTAGCCTACCATTGGGAAGGATTTACTTTCAGATTCACATTGTTTTGTAGTTCACAATAGCTGTGGGCTTTATTTGGGCTAGTACTGCTAGCTGGCCTTGTTGATATTTTTTTCCCTGGAGCTGCTTACTCTTTAGGACTACTTTTTCGCTTGGGTTGTTGACTTTGTCCCTGATCAAGTCAGTCACTTCGTCTGTGCTTCTTTTGGTAGCTGTGAACAGGAAATGTAAATGGAGTTGACTCAGCGCAGATTCTAGCAGTATGTCATTTACCCATATGGGTGACTCTAGTAAATGCGATGGAGTGGGTTTTGAAAAATGAAATGTATTAATTTCATTTAATTGATGAAATTCAGAGAATCAATATTTTACAAATTGACTAGAGTATAATATTATAAAAATCATTTTTGGGCAGAAGATTCATTTATTGTGCATGATAAAACAATAGGTGCTAATGATCAAGTATAAATTATTTTTACTGTATTCTGTCACTAGTATTTAACTTTTTGTTTTTTTTTTCTTTTCAAAACATGGAATGCACCATGAATTCATACTTTGTCCTTCCTCAGGTGCTATGTTAATCTCTATGTATCATTCCAGTTTTACTATATGTGTGGTGAAGGTAGCATACAAGCATTCCCTTTTAAGGTCAAGAATAATACAAAAACAACCTCTTTACTCTATTTAGTGAGTATCAGTGTTGCAAGTCCTAACCAACATACCATTAAGAAAAAACAAGGAGACCCAGTCCTAGCCCAGGTCTGGTGAGTGTGTGGGAGAGCTTCCTGCTACCCTGCACCGGCGGGACCAGTCCCCGCCCCGGCGCAGCATGGGCCAGACCCTCTCCCACCCCCTTGGGATGCACCCCACCACTCCGCAGCACCTCCTCCACCCCTGCCGCCAAGTAGGAATTTCTGCCGCGTTCCAGGAACCCCCAGACCCAGTCCTAGCCCAGACCCAGTGAGTGTGAGGGAGAGCCTGCTCTCCCCACTAGTCCAACTTGCCCCCTCCAGGCACAGCTCAGGCCTGGCATACATGCCTGGGGAATAACCCTGCAGCTGCAATCCCTGCAGAGAGTGTAGAGGATAGATCCACCCAGCTAGTCCTGGAGCAGAACATCTTGCCACAGGGGCACAACAAGTTCACCCACAGGGGCAGCAGTGGGAAGGAGCTGAGCACAGCAGCCAGACCCAAGCCAGGAACACCTGGATAAGTCCAACCTTTGTAGAGTTGCATCTGAATGTCAGTACGTGCGAAGGTTATAACTACAACAAAGGTCAGAAGACAGTGCTACACAAAATGACAAGAAGGAACAAAATGCAACCTCAGAACCCAAGCCCACCTGTAACAAGTGCAGAGGACATTAACACAGAACAAATTGGAAATCACACAGCTGAAAGCAATGAATCAATGGCTTCTGAAATGAAGAAACAGCTGCAGAAAGGTATAGAAGACCTCAGATTGGAAATAAAAAAAGAAATTCCTGAATTAATAACATTTGTACTAAAGAATCAATTGCAGAAACATATCGAGGAAACCCAGTGCCCACCCAGAACAAGTGCGGAGGATACTAGCTCGGCTCAAATGCATGAATTAATAGCATCAATAGTAAATAAGCAACAGCAGAAAGATATAGAGGAAATCAGAGCGCAATTCTTTTCTGAAATAAAAAAAGAACTCGCAGAACTG